GAAGCGGCGACCTGAAACGCCATCAGTCATTCCGTCGTGGAAACAATGCGCTATCATTGCTACGCAATGGGCAAGGTCAAGGTCAAGGTGTGTTTCTGTGTGCCAGCTAGTTCGGTTGGTGGGTACACTTATGCCAGAGAGTGTTGGGTCTGTTGCCAACGGGCTCGGCTGCTTGAATGTGTAATGTTGTACCTGCCACCTTTGTTGGTTCCAGGGTTCATATACATTCTATTTGAAGTATACATACCTGTCAACCATGGACTACTTCTGGCTAGATTAACTCTTGTGTAATCATGGTGCTAGTGAAGCTAATATCAGATCCACTCTGATTTAGCCACCCGCACAAGTAGCAAGTATTACCTCCACTGCGGGTAGGGGTAACTGCAGTTGGATCCCGGGACGGATACCTTGATGCCGTCAATCCTTTTTTGCACCTTGTCCTCACCCACTTACTGAGGTGTGGGGAGCTCATAAGTGGAATCATTTCCAAGTCCACCCAGCGTTTGGGGGATTTCATGTGGTGTCGGTCGTTGGGCGGTTCAATGGCCAAATGAGTCATCTTTCCAAGAGTCCTTTGAATCTCTCTCCCCTCTTCAGGGGAGGCTCGCATTATCAGTCATGGCAGTGAGCAAGTACAGTACAGTACAGTACAGTGTGTGTGTGTGTGTGTGTGTGTGTGATAGAGAGAGAGAAAGAGAGAGATGTTGCGGGTTCAATTCCCGACTCTTATGGTCGCACACGTCTTTCTTCTCTTTCTCGGTCTCTTCCTGACTTTTCTTTCATTCTCCTGGGTGGTTACCAACAGCCAGTGTATGCCAGAGTATGTGGTGTGGTGTGTGTGTGTAGAAAAAAAGAAAAAAGAAAAAAGAAGAAGAAAATGGAAAAATGAAAAATAGGGATTCACTGGCCAGAAAAAGTCAATTCAATCAGCTGTGTGGTGGATACCAGGCTAAAAATAGTGGCGGTCAATTCATCAGCCTTGCAAGCTGTTAAATGGTGTAATCCCAGCACAAGTTGCTATGTCTAACATAGCTGTTCGCTATCATCGCTTCTGCGTTAGGCAGGTCTGAGGTCTGAGGTGTGTGTGTGTGAGGAAAATCATCTCGCTGCTTGTTGAGTACTATTCCTTCTCCAAACTTTCTAGATCGAGCCTACAGCAAAGATATTCCATTGCCGACATCTTGATATTATCAGAAGTGAATGAAGGCAAATGCAGCCTTCCGAAAAGTTCAGAAATTTCTTCTAGATAAATTACTTCTTCTTTTTTGTTCCTTTCAGCAAATACATGTATGGTATTAACATAAACTAATTACTATCGAGTACTCAAACAATAGGAGGTTTCTCTGTCCTCCTATTGTTTGGACCAGCTCTACCACTCGGTATTGAGCACTCTCTTGGACAGCCTGGAACATCTCTGTTTTACTATCGAGTACTGGATAGCTTGCTCGATAGTTAGAGCGCTCGCTCAATAACTTAATTACACTCGTTTCACCTCTAGCAAATACACATTTGGCAATATGGCGGTCAATGCACGCCTACCCACACGCTCTCTAAGTGGCCAAGTTATTCTGGCACATGACTCTCATTCTCCACACCACAACGGTGAACCATCAGTTCGTGCCTGGCGCCTGTTCCATGGACAGTTAGTGGTATCCGACATAGCAGGCTTGTACATCAGGTAGCGTATGGTGCATAGCAGATGACACAGGAACGACATGAGCAGACGTGCATTTATCACCACATTGCCAGGTGTGTATGAATCAACCTTTTTTGAAATTATTAAAAAACCTTATTTATAGTGGCAAACAAATCGGTCATAACAATTGTCCCTCAGAAAAGTACGTGCAGATAAGAATCCATCATTGCTTTTTTTTAATACTTCAAAGTATGTTCACATTCCCAGGTCGAAAATACTAAAGAAAGACACGGGTACTGAGATTAGGACAAAACGTGACAACTACTGAGTACGGGCTGCACCGAGATACAGCAGTGATGGTGGGGCATTGATGGCTCTGCCGACCTGAGGTCTCGGCATCACGGCCAGAAACACGCACCAAAAAAACAAAAGACAGAGCTGTACGAGTCAGCGAAGTGAACAGAAAGGAAGGGTTAACACCAGCGAGAGTGCGGGAGAAACTGTGATGCTATGTACAATTGCAGAGGTTCTGACTGAGAGGAGCATCATCGTGGCTGATCATGGTGACTCGATTGTCGGAGCCAGTTGTGGTGCGTAGATAGGGATAGACGAGAGCAGCATCATAGCGAGTCGACTGCCCAGAGCCAGTTTGTGCTTCGCAGATGGTGACAAACGTTTGTTTTAAATGTTTGCACTCCCTCGCTGTTGGTGGTCATGACCAATGACACTACCGTGCTCGCTGCGAGTTCTGGGGCTGGATGAGGGGAAATGACGCGGTGGCAATACAGAGAGCAGCTGCGGAGGGCCGAACAGGTAATGCAGCTCGTACAGGGAGGCAAGCAGGGCACAACAATTCGCAGAGCACAACATTGGATATAATCCAGGTGTTGCAGGTGGCTGGGCAGAGCACCTATCCAGATGGGGGGGGGGGGGGGCACACTCATAACAGGTCGAACCAATGCCTCGTATACTGTGGTGCGGTCGGCTGGAAAGAGGAAGTGCGCTGCCCAGTCCTTCCTTGGCTCGAACGGCAACCTTCCGGAGACGAGTGCTGAGTGACATCTTCGAGTCAAAGGTCACTCCAAGTAAAGAGAGAGCCTTCTCCTCAAGGACAGGAGTTCCGCCAAAGACAATGTGAGGCAAATTGTTGGGGTTCTGCCAAGAGTGGCGGTCATGGATTGGGACTTTGACGGTTCGAAGGAGATGCGCCATCTTCAGCCAAACCGATGCAAGTGATCAACAGAAGTCTGGAGGCTCAATGCAGCGTCGGCTGGGGATGTGTCGAGGGATATCAGGCTATACAAGGTTGTATCGTCAGCTTACGCCTCCAGGCGGGCTCCCGGTGAGAGGGCTTCTGAGGCGTCGCTCACGTACATCAGGAAGAGTGTGGGCCCGAGTATGCTCCCTTGGGGAACTCCTGCTGATATGGTGTACAGCGATGATGCTTGGCTGCCCAATAAGCATTGAAGTGACTGCCCGAACTGGTGGGGGGTCAGGAGCTTGTAACGCTCAAGGTGGTTCATGATTTGATGATTGATAACACTCTCCATGATTTTAGAGATTATGCTCAGCAGTGAAACTGGGCGATAATTCATCAAGGCGGGTCGTGAAGATCGCTTGTGGATGGGAACCCCGCTGGCAGTCTTCCACATTCGTGGCTGGACTCCGTGCTGGAAGCAAAGAGCATTATGGTGTTTGCACTGAGTGCGCAGCTCGCTGTACTCGTTGCGCCAAACGTAATTAGTGATTGAAGCTTGGAAAACGCTCTGACGTTGTGCTATCAAATTGAGCCCCCTCCCGGTGTTGTTCTCTGACATTAATGCATACTTCTTTCTCTTGTTCTTGATGGATTTCAATGCATTACCCATACTTAACAGCATATATGCTTTGCCCCAGTGATATCAAAGTAAAGAATGGAGTTGTTACTGTTAACAGTAATTACACTGATTGAACTGCAACCGTTACATGTGTCGTATCCATGCTATTGACACGCTGCCTTTTTAGGCCTCTACGTGACAAGTCTGCCTTATTTAGGTGTCTAATTATTTATCTATCTCCTGTAAACGGGTTCATAATCGTCTTTATTTTATGTCTTCACACAAGGCCTGGGGCCTTCCTTATTTTGGTATACCTTATTATTTCCTTAGCTGGCTCGCGCTCTTTGTTATACACTTTATACACATTATTGCTAAGGTTTGGTACACTGCGGCATGCGGGTGTACCGTCCATGGTTCATTATTTGTCCTATAGTTCGTACGGGGGATCAGCCTCCGGCCCGTGGTTAGATATTATGGCAATCGCCTTTCTCTCTCTCTTGCCTTCCGGCTTCAGGCGGAAGCTTCGGCTTCCGTCTCTCTTGCCTTGTGCTCTTCATTATCTTCTCTTGAACTGAGTTACATGTACCCTCTTTGAAGATGTGAGTAAACTTGAACGCTGGTGTGAGTGTATGTGTCGGTATACGCCTGAGTGTGTGTGTGAGAGTATGTCTAGGTATATGTGTGTGCTTGCGTAAGAGAAATTCTGTTGGTGGACTCTCTCCAAGTGGCCACCACTGCACGGCCTTGTAATGTGAAGGTTTAGTAAGTTAGTTATGTCGATGACCGCAGCTTTGGGGTCTAACTCCGGGCCGCCGGACTACGACACATGTAACCAAGGTTACCAACCACCAAATGCGTTGCCAATGAAGTGCCAGGAACACAATTTGACGCACAACGTGTGGACCAATATACTTACCTGCAACCATAAGTTAAAACGAATGGGTGTTCAGGTGTTGAGGACAGTATTGTGTTCTTATGCAGACCTCCCATGTCCAGGCTTCTACCTCAACTAAAAAGAACTTGCAAGCGGCATTGACAGCCCTTTGACACTGAAATCAAGATCCTGTGTAAATATTCGCATCATTGGAGAGCATGCAGGATCAAGATCCTGTGAAAATATTCCCATCATTGGAGAGCATGGGAGGGTGGGTGTCTGCACACAGCTCTGTCCATGAGAATTGAGCATTGTTTGAGCAGTGAAGGTTGCCTCCTGTGTCCTTTCTGAGTGGGGAGAAAGAACTATTCTCAGGAACCAGAAAAGAGTGCTTGCGCAATTAGTGTTCTCTGATTGAGGTGCGTATCTTCAGATTTCTCGTCATTCATTCGTTCTTTAGTCTCTGTGTGTATTGGTTGCTATCAATCATTTGGCCACTGAGTGCTGGATGGTGTATGTGCATTGCCCAAATGATAACCATGGCCAGATTGGGATTGTCTTCAATAATGACACTGAAGACATTATTTTTCCATGTGTCTTTGCTTTGCTGTTCTCCCGTGCATTGTTCATGGCTTGTCCTGGTGGATGTGTATTATTTGCCAATGCTCTAAAGTGAAGCCTGCTTACTGCTCTAGTACAATCAATGTAACCAATGGAGTTGTTCGTGTTTACAACGCTTATCTTGGCGAAGAGGCAAATGTTACATGCAATCAAGGCTACAGTCCATCGACTAATTCAACGATGAAATGCATGGTAAAGGATGAATTAGCCGGTGTCTGGACTAATGTACAAAGCTGCCACCGTAAGCTTCACTTTCTAAAATTGTACCATATTATTTGCCACCATTTAGGAACCCCATCTGACGTTTGATCATAAGGCGGTTACGTCAAAAGGAAGTGGAGAGGTGACTCTTGTACGCGAACCCAGTTTTTTCCTTCATAAACCTGGGCACACCCGAAAGTTGCACCCAGTGAACTTGAATTGCTCAATACCGTGGAGACATAACGTATCACACAGAACAAAAAGGCACCACACCACAAAGTCACTTTTTTGTTTGTTTGTTTCTTTTATTTGAATTCGTTTAGAGCACAGGCAATTCTGCCTTCTCACCAGAGGAAAAACCTCCGGTTTCTGCTAAGAACGAATATAATATTATGAGAGAAGGAAATATTAAAAAGAATCATAACAATCATGATAATTCCAAAGCACAAAGTTTGTATATAATTCAAATGGGTGTGTGTATGTGTAAGCATGCAGTGAAGAAAACACCGAGAAAACATGCAGTGATGTGTAGGGATGCCGAGCAAGGTGGTTACAAATTACAATTAATTCTGTTCAGAGCCAGTTTAAAGGCAACCGCCGCACTATGGAGGCGAATATCGCTGGGAAGGGAATTCCAAAGAGTGCTTCCCACAAAATGTCAATGACTGACGACTGGAAGGTCCAGGAAGGAAAGGCACTTGCAGTAGCCGCTGCTCCTGTCCTCGAGTAATTCGGCGATCATCCCGGGATGCTTGGCCTGTGTTAGCCATCAACTGAAAGTAGGTGCAGAAAAGAGGACTTGCAAGATCATGTAGGCAACGGAAAACAAAAAATAAAACCTTGTAGTTAAAAATGTGAGTTAGGGATCGAATAGATAAGCGCACGAGGAGGGGGGCTGTGGATGCACGGCTGGAGAGTCGGAAAATTGCACGAATTCCGGATTTGCTGGATTTGATTAAACGACTCTGCAGCTGCTGTGTCAGCGACGGGAAGAATGCATTGGATGCGTACGTTAGTCGTGCTTGCACAATGCCAATGTACCAAAGTCTGCGGGCTCTTATGGGCAGAGATCGCCCATGGCGCCATAGCTGGCTGATGGCGACTGACGCCTTCTGCACAACACTGGAGACATGGGGCTGCCAGGATAGCTGGTCATCAATGGTTACGCCAAGGTATTTGGCAGTGGAGGTAACAGTTAAGGCTTGATCCTTACATTTCACGACTGGTATGTCGCCAGTGAGTCCCCGAGGTTGAATTACCATGACTTGGGTTTTGCCGGTATTCAGCAGAAGCCCAATTTCGGAGAGCCAGTCAGACAGACGTGTCACAGCCGTAGTCAACGTCTTGCAAACAGTGTCCAGATCTGAATCAGAATAATCTAGGATGATGTCGTCCGCGAACTCCTGATGAACAACAATGCAAGGTATGACGTCGGAAATGTCACTCGTGTAAAGGACAAAGAGAAGCGGCCCAAGAACACTGCCTTGGGGCACACCTCTTGAGCATGGGACTGCATCAGAAAGAGCCTCACACACCTTGACACGTTGAGTACGACCAGACAGATAGCTAGCCAACCATAACAATACTCTGCCATTGACTCCCAGGGTGAATAGTTTATCAATCAGACGTTGATGTTGGACACGGTCAAACGCTTTTGACATGTCAACCATCACAATACCTGTGTATTTTCGCTCTTGTTTGGCCAACAGCCAACGGTTGGCGGCTAGAACTAATGCATCTTCGGTAGAGTGCATTTTCCTGTAGGCAAACTGACTGCTAGGTAATATGCTATGTTGCGTGAGGTATGCTGTGAGTTGCTTCTTTACAAAGAACTCCAAAATCCGGGACAGAATAGGGAGCAATGACACTGGTCTATAGTTAGTAGGGGATGTTGCATCGCCACTCTTGAACAGTGGACTAATGTGTGATGTTTTAAAACACACTGGCACAGTACCTGATGTCAAGGATGCATTGACTAGGGTGGTAAATGGAGGTGCCAGGACATGTGAACACTGCTGCAGTACAATTCCAGGAATGTTGTCACTCCCAGATGCTTTATGAGGACTCACAGTTTGCAAGCATTGTGCAACATCAGACACGCTTACCGGCTGAAATGTTGAGAAGCTAGATGCAGAGGCTGGACCATGTGGTATATGCAGCTCAGGTGGCCGCATAGGGTCATGCACAATGTCTCCAAACAATTTACTGAGTGACTCAAGCGGCGCTTCAGGTTCTTTCCGTGTCTTCTGTCGGCCTGTGACATCGTTCATGACAGCCCAAAGTTGCCGTTGATCTGATGTATCACATCTCTTAGTGAAGTACAAGTTGCGCAGACTCCTGTCCAACTTCCGTGCTTTGGAGCGAGCTGATCGGTGTGCTTCTTGAAGGTTCTGATCGGTTTTGTCTCGGAGCCAGAGACGATGCGCCCGGTTCCGTTCACGAACACTTGCCACTAACTCATCTGTAATCTAGGGGCAAGGACGTCGAGATTTGCGGCGCCGTTCCCGAAGTGGAGCATGTTTGTCTAGAGTGGTCTGGATTCCCGCAGTGAGTGACGACGCAAGCACATCCACACAGACAGAGTCACAGGTAGTTAGCGTCTTCTCCAGGTAGTTTGGAGTTGACAGGAGGGCATGCACATCGAAACCACGCCTTGTCAACGACCCGTTCTTTCTCAGTTTTAACGACCACACTCAGCAAAGAACAAAACAACAACAAAGCACAACGACACACCAACGCTGATGTGGCATCGCAAATCCCGTACCGTGCACGCAGGCACTGGGTTGCAACAGAAAAAAGACGCGCTGCAAGCGTGCCAAGCAGCGAGTGAGTACAGAACGCGTACTAATGCCAGTCATGGCAACGGAAGATAAAATTATTGGAGATCGACCCGCGCATGGTTCGATCGAGAGCAGAGTACGAAAAAAGCACACATTCAAAGTTCAAACTGTGCAACAGAAGCAGAAGAGGAAAACGAAAATGAACACTTGTCGTGAAGTGAAGTGCTTCTGTCCAAGGGTGCTTGCACCCGACGGGGTGACAGCGCCCCTAGTCAGACAATACAAGGCAAACGAAATAGAAATTAGCTGAGTCACAGCGCGGGACTCCGAAACGAAAACCGGTGAGTATGTAAATATTAATTGTTTCGTACCTGCTGTACAACGTAACAATTCGTAACGTAATTTCAAACTAGCACTCGTAGAATTGTAGTGCGAATGTGCCACTCGATTATAGTAGCAACAACAAAGAGATACTCTTCTAAACATTTCTCTCCCTTCTCACTGTGCCGAAATTCACAGTGACCAAAAATCCGAAATTGAGTATTGTTCTGACATAGGCAAACAAGGAGCTACTCACAGAACAGCTTACAAAGACGCACGATTGGGCGGGTGTAGGTCTTGTCGCCCACCTTGACCTTCACAACTCGCACGTGTCCGTCTGGACCAGGGTGCACTTCGGTGACGCGACCCATTGGCCAAGTGCCCCGTGGGTTGTCTTGGGATGTCACTAGAACGATGTCGTCGACCTTGAGGTCTGTCTCGGCCGTCCTCCACTTGAGTCGCCGGTTCAGCTCTGGCACGACTTCCTGCATCCATCTCCGCCAAAAGTGCAGCACGAGTTCTTGCACTACACGCCAGCGTTGCCGAGGGTTGAACTCGCTCTCGTCCACTCCTGCAGGTGCGAACCGAGTACCGATTTGGCCATACATGAAATGATTGGGCGTTAGCGGAGTCGGGTCACGACCATCTGCCGACACGTAGGATAGTGGCCGTGAGTTCATGAGCGCCTCCGCGCCGACGATAGCAGACAATAGCTCCTCGTCTGTGACCTCCGCGTTCTTCAGAATCGCCGAGATAGCACGCTTTGCCGATTTTACTAACGCCTCATGCACTCCGCCGAAATGTGGTGCTGCTGGAGGGTTGAAACGCCAGCTAGTCTGCTGATCCGCTGTCTGCCGCTGAATCGCCTCTGCATCAAGCTGCTTGACTAGCTGAGCAAGCTCATTGGTGGCGCCGACGAAATTCGTGCCATTGTCGGAGATGACGTCGATCGGTACTCCCCGTCGATTGGTGAAGCGTACGTACGCCTGCAGGAACGAGTCCGTTGTCAACGCGTATGACAGCTCGAGATGCACTGCTCTCGTCTGCAAGCAGGTGAACAAGCACAGGTACCGCTTGTGTTGTGTCTTGCCGCGACCCTGCTTCGTCATAAACGGTCCGGCATAGTCTACAGAGACTCGGCCGAATGCGCGTAGCGGCAGGCTGACTCGGACCTTAGGTAGTGGCGCCATCACCTGCATTGCCGGCTTCGTACGGTTCCGGGCGCACCTCGCACACTTGGCTTCCCAAGCTCGCACCTCTTCGCGGCCAGCGACGATCCAGTAGCGCGACGAGAGTTCGGCTAGCGTATGGCTGACACCGAACGCGTGATATCCTCGTTCGTGACATGCCTTGACAATCAGCTGTGTCACATGGTCTCCTCGTGGTAGGACGATCGGATTGCGTTGTTCTGCAGTCAAGAAGTCTGCATGCTGTAGTCGACCTCCGACGCGTAGAAGGCCAGCGTCGTCAATCATTGGCTTGAGCGAGACCAGCTTGCTGGTTGCAGGGATCGGCTTGCCTGCCTTAACTGCAGCATACTCTGGTAGCGACTGTTGCTGCGCTCGCTTGATGAAGAACTCCTCAGAGTCTCGGATCGCTGGTGGCGATAATTCGTCAAACTCTCGTTGTGCGGGTGGTACTGAGCAATTCGTAGCGAATCGCACACACCAAGCATGAACACGGCACATTCGTACCCAGTCGGAGTAGCGGCTTGGCTCTAGACGATTCAGCTCGCTGTGGCATTGGTCGACGGTCACCGCAGTCAGCTCGATGGACTCGTCCGTCGGTTGATTGTCTTTCTTCAACTCCAGAGTTGACGGACGGGGCTTCAATTCTGGCTGAACAGGCCATTCACTTTCAGCGGCACCCAAGAAGCCGGGACCGTTCCACCATAAACTGCTTCCCGCCAACTCTTGCACTGACATTCCTCGAGAGACCA